ATGTACCAATGATCTGGCTGACATATGCTTCAGTCACTGGGGACCACCACAGAGACACCCCACACACACACACACACCTCCTCCTCCTCCTCAGAGGGCCCTTCCCTCCAAGGCCGGCCCTGCCCCAGCCTCCACCCTCAGGCGTTCCTTTTCTCTCTGGCCACTTCGATCCTTTCCTCTGCAGGCTCCTTTCCCTCAGCTGACAGACAGGAACAGGCTGCCTCTTCTCAAAAACAAACCCTCTGATGACCTTGGGTCCTTCCCTCCCATGATCCCCTCTTCCCTCCAACATCCCCAGCTCTGTACCCCACGACAGCCCTGAGCTGACTCCTCTTAGAAAAATCTGCTGCAAAGGTCACCACCTGCCTGTTCCTTAGTGCTGCCCTTGTGACTTGTGGCTGCCAAGCTGGCTGGTGGCCCCTGGGTCCCGTGCCCATCTCTCTCTGGCTCCCTCTTCCTTGGCTCCTTGCTGGCTAGCCCCCTCCAACCCCCACACACAGCATTTGCTGAGGTTCTTTCCTGACTTCCAAAACCTCTCCCCTCATCAGCTCCACTGGCCTGAAAAAGGCTCCTCCCTTCCCCCTCCCCCTTGCACATACCTCCTCCCAAACTCCCTGTGCTCAGGGCCTCCATTCGCCCAGCCTCCAGGCTTGGGCTCCTCTGACAGCCTTCCTTTTCTGTCCAATCCCCATATTCAAACAGAATCCCAGGTGGCTCTTGCTTCCCAATGTCTCCCCATCCCCTTTTCATCCCCTCCTGGACCCTAGAAGGCCCGCCTCCCTCCTCTCCTTCTCCACCCCCACACCTTTCTCTCTCTCAACCCAACCCACCTTACCCAGGGCCTCACACTGACCTCTGCAACGCTCCCTTCCATCCTGTTCCCAGCTCCTGACTTTAAGACCTCTACAATTTCCTCCCCCAAACCCCGCCTTCCCAGACCAATCTCCCAAGCTCTCAGCACACCTTGAACCATCCTGTTCCGTGACTCCACTCACACCATTCCCTCCACTGGGAATACCCCACTCCAAGTCTGCCAACAGAAATCTTTCCTGTCCTCCAAGGGTCAGTTCAGATGCCAGTGGCTCCTTGTGGTCCCTCTTGTCCTGACCTCCCAGTGCCCTCCTCTAGTACTAAAACTAGACACAGCTCTGCCTGGGACAGTGTGTGGACAGGTCTGTTCTCCAGCTGGAGACTGAGCTCTGAGGGACAGGGACTAGTCTCATGGGCCTCAGTTTCCCTCTGCCACCAACTCTGGCCAAGAACTGTGTGTGGAATCAACGAATGAAAAAGGCTACGTATGGGCTCAGGGACATCTACATCCTGAGCACATATAACACAGGTGCCTCCATCACACTTCCTGCATACCACTCAGGAAGCCCCAACACCCAGTGTCCTCAGGAAAGCAGTAGCCCCGAGCCTGGCTGCCACATTAAGGAGCTGGGGTCCCAGGCTCACCCGACCTCCCACTGTCTGAGCTGGGGAAAAGGCCTTACCTCCTTCAGGTGGACTCTCGTTGGTGGCCGGCGCCGTTGGCCCCCCCGCACCCGGTCCCGGGTCACATGCTCCAGGGCACAGCTCTTGTCTACCTTTACCTGAGAAGGAGAGGAAACCAGGTCAGCCCCCACTAAGCCTCAGAGAGAGAGAGAGAAATACCCAGGCATCAACCTGACTCAGAGGCATGGTCAGCACCCCACCATTCTCTCTCTTTGAGGAGTCTCCCTGGTTCTCTCCATGTCCCTGCACTGCCACTGGCGGTCTCTCTGCAGAGCCTGAGGCTCTCCCTCTCCCTGCAGCTGCCCTCTTTGCCTCAGTCTTCCTGCTCAAATATGGGCTATCAGTCCTTGCTCCTCAGTCTACTGCAAATATATAAGCAACCCTGAGGCAGCTTCGGGGCTCAGTGGGAGGAGGGGAGAGAAGAAAGCCCACAATGCCCTGGGAGAAAAGGTCTGTCCTGGCCTCTGCCACTCTCCCAGGATCCCTGGGGATAGCCCAGGCAAGAGCAGGAACTTTGCCCTTGGGCCTGGGTGTCTGGAGGGCAGCATCTCCTCTCTGAGGGGAAGGAAAGGGAGTCAGGAATAGCTGGGAAGCCCCAGAGTAAGACTCATATAGGAGATCTGGACTCTAAACGCTGGAGTGGCCTGTCCCTATGGTGGAGAGTAGAGTCTCAGGCCCACCTGGGGGGCCAACTCTCTCTGCTCTTCAGTAGGAGTGGACCCTGCTCTGCCCAGACTGTGGGCTAAGGCCCAGCCATGGCTCCTGGCCTTCCCCAATCGCCACATTATGTCCCATCCTCCCTCTCCCACAAAATGGGAACACTTTCCCTAGGTAGCGAAGGGCTGAGCATGACACCTTGTTACATAGGACACAACATAGGAGCCATGGGCTGCGAGTCAGGGAACCTGAGGGTTAAGAGGGAAGTTGCTTGGGAAGGTTCACTCCCCTCAAGCCTCAGTCTTCCGCAATCCAAGAAGACTCTCCAGGTGGCCCTCATGTCCATTTTAGCCCAAATAGCTAAGGATCCATGATGTCAAAAACAAATCCTCCCTAGGATATCCTGGCCCCATGGGACACCCTGCCTGCCCCAAGCCTGATCGTGGTCACTGTTGCTAGAGCCACCACTACACACAGGGAGCTGAGATCTGCAGGGCCGAGGGTCACTGCAGACAGACAAGGAGGCCTAGGACTGGGAGTCAGGCCGGACTTGATGGGCAAACCAAAAAAGGAGCTCTCTACTCACCTCCCGCCCTCTCCAGCCTGGACCCACAAGCTGCTGTCAGCTGAGGCTGGGGTGGAAATGATGTGCAGCTGCCACCAGTTAAATTCTACCCCACCAAATCGTGGTCACTGTTGCTAGAGCCACCACTACACACAGGGAGCTGAGATCTGCAGGGCCGAGGGTCACTGCAGACAGATAAGGAGGCCTAGGACTGGGAGTCAGGCCGGACTTGATGGGCAAACCGAAAAAGGAGCTCTCTACTCACCTCCCGCCCTCTCCAGCCTGGACCCACAAGCTGTTGTCAGCTGAGGCTGGGGTGGAAATGATGTGCAGCTGCCACCAGTTAAATTCTACCCCACCACTTACCTGCTTTTTAATTTAAGACAACTTACTTAATTTCCTTGTGCCTCAGTTTCATCTATAAAATGCAATGCCACCACCTACTTTGAGGGGCTATTGTGACAACAGCAGATGCCCCAACATTTGTAGCAGTGACATAATTGAGGGGTTGTCAGGGATGAGGTGGGGCAGGGTCCTCTCCTAGTTCACACACGGTGGAGAAGGGGACATAGAGTCCACAGGACTGCATTGTACCTCGTCAAAAGCCTTGTTCTTGCCTCGGTTGATCCCTTCATTGAGAGCTTTGATCCAGGATTCCTTCTCCTCCCCACTGGGAGCCTGAAATTTGATGTCGCTGACCTGTGGAGGAGACAAGTGGGATGGACAGCATTAACAGGGCTCATATTTGGGGTCTTACTTCCCACCCCAGATCCTAAAGTCAAACCAAAATGACCCCTAGAACAGGTCTTACACCAGGCTTAAGGGCAAGGGAGGAGAAAGATCCAGCAGAAAAGGGGCTCTCCCCCAGCATGCAGCTGCCAGAGGCTTGGATGAGAATCAGCCTTGCACTGTGGAAACAGTCCAGATCTGGTCCAACTCCACTGGACTCCTCCAGGTCAGCTGCCTGATCTCTGGGCTTCAGTTTTCTTAGTAAAGTAAGAACAGTCTCAGTCTACAGTCACACCAGGCTGAATATAATGACAGAGGTGACAGACATGAGGGCCCACTGGACCCAGGGCCACCCTCAGCTCCCCACTGAGTCCCACGCCCAGCCCTGGCCTCAACTAAAAATATTTCTGGACTCGTAAAGCCCCAGGGTCTCCTTTCTGGCTTTCAATCATGGACTGTAAAAGAGAAAGGCATTGTGGGGGTCAATTCCAATCTCATTATACAGATGAAGAAACTGAGGCTCAGCAGATGGGATGGAACTCAGCCAAGGTGAACTAAAGTACATCCCATGACTCCTGACTCCCCACTCTTCACCTGCCCATCTCAGGCAGGAGCTCTGAGCTCCTATGTTAGAATCAGAGGGCAGCTCAGAGAGGCCTGTCCCCTCCAGGCCCAACAGCCAGCCAGGAAATGAGAGGAAGGAGGAAGGCCATGCAAACTGAGGGGCTGCCTGGTGTGGTAGACAGAATAGCAGAGCTCTGAGCTGGACAGTCCACCACTTACAGCTGTCTGAGCCTCAGTTTCCTTATCTGTAAAAGACAATACCTCCACAACCTGCCTCAAAGAGCCATGAACATTTAAAAAATAATGTATCCAATTTGTGTATCCATGTTTATAGCAGCATTATTCATAATAGCTAAAATGTGAAAGCAACCCAAGTGTCCATCGATGGATGAATGGATAAGCAAAAAGTGGAGTATGCATACAACAGAATATTACTACTCAGGGCTGGCCAGTTAGTGCACTTGGTTAGGGCATGGTGCTCATAACACCAAGGTCAAGGGTTCAGATTCCCATACTGGCCAGCCACCAACACAAAATAAAAACAGAAATATTACTCAGTAGCCTTAAAAAGGAAGGAAATTGTGACACATGCTATGACATGGATGAACATTGAGGGCATTATGCTAAATGAGATAAGCCAGTCACAAAAAGACAAAGACTGCCTGATTCCACCTATATGAGGTACCCAGGGTAATCAAACTGATAGAGACATAAAGTAGAATGGTGGGTTCCAGGGGCTGTGGGGAGGGAGAATGGGGCATTACTGCTTAATAGGTAGAGTCTCAGATTTACAAGATAAAAAGAGTTAGGGAGATGGTGGTGATGGGAGCAGAACATCATGAATGTATTTAATACCGCTGAACTACTCTTAAAAATGGTTAACATGGTAAATTTTATCTTATGTGTATTTGGCCACAATTTTTAAAAATTGGGGGAAAATGATGTATCTAAAGTGCTGATGGG